TGCTACGGTTATATTATGATGAACACTGATGGCGGGGCTAGGGAAAAAGGGGTAGGATGTTAGCTCTGACACTTTTTTTAAAGTAAAATAAAGGGATAAGACTGAAGAAATGTAACTACTGTAAGGTCAGCCCAATAAATGTGGCTCAAGTATTGGACTTCCTCCGTGTTGTATGTAAGCCACACACTAATGCATGCAATATTCCCTGAAAAAGCTTTGTTTCCTGAATTTTAAATCTAGATAAAAGCCAAAAAAAATTAAAAATTATAACAATTTATACAGTAATAAAAATAACCCATGTCTGCCAAGAATGGTATTGACAAACTTGTTGATGTACCGTACGTACATGTAGGTGCAGTACATGTACATGTACATGCACAGATGTGCACTGTAGAGTGGATACCGTACATCCTTAATGACAACCCGTAACCTGTCCACGGTTTAAAAAGTCACCTAATCACTGGTCATCAATGTCATGCATAGCAGCTGACCCAGCGGGCACTGTCTGCGGGGAACCGGTTAATAAATGCAGGACAAGATAACATGAAACAGAAGGGCGTAGCATCACTTCTGTTTAAAATCATCCAAATGTAATTAGAGAGGTTTGGATATGGAGAGTAGACTTCACTGGAAGTTGAAGGAGATGGGGAGCTGGGGGGGGGGGGGAGACAGGATTGGAGAAATGCCAAGTGCAGAACATGCAAATGCACTGCACATAGCCTGTATGTACATGTATGGACTTTGATGTATGGTAGCCTGTGCACCGCATTGGGAAAAACACAGCTGGCCCAATGTGCCAAAAGTAATCATCATTTGGGTTGCGTGACAACTTTCAAGTACAACCAAACTTGGGAGGCCTTGTGGGGAAAGAGTAGTCCTGCTGCATACAAGTCGGCAGGGTTTGACAACTCAAAAGCATTGGTAAAATGTCAAGGGGTGTCATTAGACACGGTTTTAATTGATGGGTCAGACTAGAGACTGGCCTTGTCATTTACTCCTTCACCTAGTTTACTTTCAGTCTTGCTTAATTTAAAAATTATATGAGATGATTGTTGAGCAATAAGAAGGGTAAAGTGCAATAAAGGAGGCAAGCAAAGATATGTACATCCAAGAGCCTCATGGTGGCCCTGCTGCAATTATGGTTTTTAGTACACTGCTCTGATGCACACAATTCAAAAGAAAATGGCTGTTTAGGGAATTTAAGTTTTATTCAGCAGAATTCTACAGAACCCAACAGAGTCCAACAAAATCTAACAGTTTTAATAGAAAAAGACTTTTGGTCACATCTAAGATCCACACCATAAAATAGAAGTTTGCACTGTTTTGATTGATGTTTTAGTCAGCTAGGTTTGGTTAATTAAGGAAGAATAAGACAATACAAATAATCTCACATTCAAAAATAGCCCAATGAAACTTAAAAACATTTTTTTCTTTCTTTCATGAATGACCAAGGTGCTCCATTCATTTTAAAATTAATTTATAAGAACAAATTCTAGGACCATCATCACTTTAAAATAAATCTCAACCCCTCCCCCATTGGGTGATGATTAAACCATTCCTGGAGAGTTAAAGCTCCTGTTGTTAGCTTCGTAAATGATCACTTCACTTGATCAGAATCTTGTGTCTGATCGCCTTCACAATGGCACCATAAACATACGCAAGGAAATTGAGCGTTCTTTTGATGTTTGTGTTCTTGGGAAGGGACTTGACTACAACAACTACTCTCCACCCAGGAGTATAGATGGGCAATTGGGGCAGTGATGATCTGGAGCTGCTGCAGAAAATATGAGTACAGCATTGTGAGATAATTCTTTCATATCGAGATATCATATCGTTTGTTCCCCCCCCCCCCACTTTTTTCGTCCCCCTCCAAAAAATGTAACCCACATATTTTACAACTCGGAATAGCTGATTCAATTACTCCTAACTTAAAAATGATGTTAAAAGTGTGATCTTTTGCTTAAAAAAATGCGTTAAAGTGGTCAGAAATTGCCTCAGAACAAGTCCCCCCACTTTTTAAAGTGGGGGGGGGGGGGGGAAATATCATATCGTTTGTCCCCCCCCCACACTTTTTTCGCCCCCTCTCCAAAAAAAATGTAGCCCACATATTATTTTATAGAGCTCTCAGAATAGCTGATTCAATTACTCCAAACTTAAAAATGATGTTAAAAGTTTGATCTTTTGCTTAAAAAAATGCGTTAAAGTGGTCAGAAATTGCCTCAGATCGCACCACAGAGCGTCTACAATCCAAAATTCTTCAAGGCCCTTAGGTGGGCACAAACCCCACGCCGTAAGGGCTTCGCGCTCGCATTAGTTCCGTTCAACAATAGTCCCCCCCCCCCCCACTTTTGAAAAATGATTGACGCCCTTGTGCAACCCTGTTATAAGGGGAAATGAACCAGTGGTATTTTTTATAAGATAGCCATTGTGACAATGTATACTCTTGACTTGGGTGTGTAATGACTAAGCCAAACATGAGATTATAACTGGACATTGTAAATGGACATGCACAGGTACATTTGCACAGGAAATCCTCTGTTCAAGTGTGCCTACATACCAGACCTTAAGCCCTTTATGTACACAAAAGGGCACGTTTGAGGGACCCACCCTCTATTATGTGGCAAGGCAGTGTTGCTTTTTAACATGGTTCAACAATAAGTTGTGCGTGTTTATCAAATTACAAATTCCTTCAAATATGCAACGTCAACTTGTCTTGATATCTTTTCTAGCAGCTAGATTCTGAAAGAACTGGAGCAGATCAGTACATTTTAGCTAGACCTACGACAGAGAAAGGGGGGAATGAAAGGAAATTTATGTTCAATTTCTTTAACAATTTACTCCTTCCTAAGGAATACAAACATCGTACAATCAAGACAATAGCTGCTCAGAACTTCATCAGAAGAGGTAGACAAAATACAAAAGCTTCTGGGTTATTTCAGTGGTCGTTATTTTATTTCATTTGCAAAGTAAAAACAGACAACTCAATGTGGGTGTACATGTGCCAGTCTCAAAAACTGCATGAAATGGCCTGTACTCTGAATGCACTGTACGGAAAATTGATTACAATAAAACAACCATTGGTTCCTATTGGGTAAGTACATGGTGAACAAAAATACTTAAAGGGCCTTAATCTTGGCTCCAATTATCATTTTTTTTAAATGACTGGGGTGAGTCAAATATGCGAACATCTCAGGCCCAGTGATTTTGCGAATGGATGTCTCCAGTCTCAGTTTAGTTTTGACTAAAACCCTGGAGACAATCCTTTTGAACCTTGGGTTATGATTTGTATCACAACACATCACTTGCTTTTAAACATGGCCTAATTATTGAGTCGTTTTCCTAGTTCCGGATAGCAAACGTCATTCAGGCTGCTTTCGGCTCAACTGATCACAAATTCAAGTGACATTGGTTAAAAAGTTTACCTTGAGTGATGGAGATACTACAAAATAATTTTCCAAATTTAAGCTCTTTTAATTTTGACTTAGCGACGTCAAAAGTACGGATGCCACTTTTCCTAGTTCCGGATCGGATTTAGTTCCAAATCGATCAAAAACTGCTTCGCGTGAAATATAAAATAACGCGAGAAAATCAATTTTTCTGCCAGAACCACCCTGAATAAAGCACATTTTCTGATAAAGTATAATTTAATTTTTTTTAAAAACAGTTCATTCAAGAGAATTCCAGCAAATTTTAAAAAGAGAATTAGGGTTAATGATTTTGAAACTTTTGTCTGCAGCGCGACGACACGAACACGCACGGACCAAAAACATTTGACCCATCACAGATTATGTCAGTTAAAATTGATTAATGCGCGTGTAGTTGGGTCCTATGTGCACACTAGGCAAAAACATATGGTCATTCGTTGGCGAATTTTCAAATATTAGAGACTCTACAATGTATTTTGATTCAACAAACATTCGATACAAGAGTTTATGCGACTGTAGAGTACGAACAAAATATTAGAAATCACATGATCGGAGTGATGTACCGAGGAGAAAAACAGGAGAAAATCTATCGTCGATTCGCAGCTCCCGTGATTTTCTACAAACGATAAAACATGTCAAAGTGCAAGTCGCAAATCTGGCCAAAAATCCTTTTCTAGACTTATCGAAAAGATCTTTGTGTTTCAAGAAGCTTACATTTTCCTTTTCAAAATGCACTTCGTCAGAAAAAATAGTATTGGAGACCAATTCAAAAGAGGTAGGTTTTTATTTGAAGCAATCCGGAACTAGGAAAAATCCAGAACTAGGAAAACGACACTACAGTGTACCTGATTTATGTACAGAGTTGATACTAAAATATGATGTCGACGTTACAATACTTAAAACTAATTCACTGAGAATTATACAATCTGACATTGAGAAAATTATGACTCTTGTTTTGCATGAATATTAATCACTCTCACAATGACTGACATGTCATGACTGATTGATTATAACCGCTATATATCCCCTAGCATTGCATTGATAATGATAGTGCATGAATTTTGAGCTTGCAGATTTGCCTGTTCATGCACGCAACGTCAAGTTTGAACATGTACAGTGTACATGTACACGTATTCCCGGTGACTGCATGCATCAAGCTAGCTAGGTCAATGTACACTGTTTACAACTGCCCAACACCTTATGACCCCTCGACCTGAACTTGACAACAGAACAACACGAATACGGAATAGGCAACGGTACTGTACACAAGTGTTGCATCGTGTGCCTTGCCTGATTATTACTTAGCTAACAACTGAGTAGTATTTAACATGGTAAGAGTAGGTCTAGATTGACCAAGGGAACACCTAAATAATACTAGATCTCCATCGCTGACGTTATTATAACCCATAATGATTAACCAAAGCCTGCACTTGCAATGTAACGTTCAACCTGTCGAGACAGAAGGGGAAAGGTGTGTAGTTTTAGCATAGGTTTTAACACAATTTTACTCTAGAACAACACATCTTTACACTTCGTGTTTTGGCATGACAGTAGCCATGCAGATTAGCTACCAACCTGACCGGTTATACCGGTAATCAGAGCCACACGTTGCGTAGATTCCGCTCCGTTAATGCACTGAGCCTGAGGAACGGCCAAGTTGCTTTGCGCCATGTTTTCAGAGAGGACCATTTACACATGTAGGCCTATTGCGTATGGCATGTGCACAAATACACGCAGCATATCGCGGATCGGAGCGAACATGTATGTACTACGTGGCTGGTGCTTTCATTCACAAGCCCACCGTAGACGGGGTCAAATGGCCATCACGTGCTCCGTCTGCGGGCCGTGATTGGTTAAAGTGCGTGCATATATAAATAGTTTATCATTTGTTTACCATAATATCAAACATGGACGTGTCGGGGCAAGCCGCGTTCACATGCAGACCTGGGCATTACGTCATGGGGACGGTTGCCGGTTAAAAGGACCTGATACAGTCCCCCGGCCAATGGGGTCGCAAAGAAGACATACCAAGGGGTGGAGCGACAATACCACCTCCATTCAATCTGCCAAAAAATTGTAGTAAACATCAGCTGACGGCCAAAGATTCACTCCAGAGTCGGCATCAATCGCGGAAAAAAAACACAACAAGCCATCATTTCATTTTCAGCCGGCACCGTGTGGTAACCATGAACGACATCGGTATTAACAAATTTCTAGGACCCCTCGGGTTACACCAATATGCTGATATATTCCAAATTAAAGGATATGATGTGGAGAGTGATTTCTGTACACTGGATAAAGACGATCTAGACGCGATGAACATCACAGACAAGGAGCATCGAGGGACAATTCTCCAGGCAGGTTAGTCAGAAAATGTCCACCCCATCTCACACGCATGTTCGTTTTTCTCCGGGTAAGCCATGGTGCTCGCTTGGTCAGCACATGTCTGCATCCCTCACAAATTTACGCGCGCCATTTCCCTTTTTTGGGGGAAAAATTTCGCCAATTGACCCCAGCCTAAACACACTGATGCGATTCACTATTTTGCTTTGAAGCTGGTCTATTTTTCAGAGTATAAATTTCTCCGGCACGCGTCTCAAATCTCTATCTGCAACGTCTACCTTTTTTACGCGCTTGTCAGCATGAAATTTAATGGCAGCCATATTGAAAAAATGAAAAAGGGAGATGCATGTTGCCAGTTGATGGATAAAAATTTACAAATTCCTTCCTTGTACATTTATTACGGAATCAAAAATGTAGGCATATACACTGTGAGCTTTGTCATGTGTTGAGGGGAGGTGAATTTTCTGGCTGCGGAATAGGGAAATACATCGAATTTTGTCCCATGCATGCGCTTCACAGACGTATAAACTAATGTGTAATGTTGAACCGTTGACCCCAAGCTGACTCGGCTACTATCGAGCGAACAGAGCGTTCTTTATGGGCTGGCGTTGCCATCCAACATTCGCTCCGAAACCACAACCCAGAACAAGGGGTTTTCTGGCAAAAGAGGGTGTAAAAGTTTGATGTTATGTGCCACAGTGTCATAATTTGGGCAAGGGAGTCGTGTGGTAAGTGTTCTCTGTGAAGCTCGAAAGTTTATCGAAGTTTGGACGCTGCGCGCCGAGTTTCGGCCAGTTCGCGTCAACGCCTCCCAACTCAGAAGTTGATGGCCAAGTCTAAGGATAGCAGACGTAACTCTGAATGTTTATCCAACGAATTTTTTAAAATGAAAACGAATTTAATTGGTAATATAGCTTGAATGGAGACAACCATCCATGTCAATTTTGTCAGCAGGACTTGGCGGTCTGGGCCGGTCTCTTTCTGTCGAAGGAGGGGCAACTTGTTTGGGGTCTACAATGCTTGTCACTGCTTGTACTACGCACAATATTCACCGCCAGTTTTTTGAGGTCGCTTTGGATTTTCTGCCTTCGAAAACGTATTTTTTTCGGGAGTAAAAAGTCAACCAAAAGGTACCCACACCTTGGTGGCATACAAAGAAGGATCCTTGTGAAATTCTCGGCCAACATTTATTTCATTTGGTTGAAGTTTTGTCAAGCAATCGATGTCATTTTATTTCACGAAAATCGAGGCACCGTGCGCATTTTTCCCAAAACGATCAAGCATTAGGCGGGCACGCGCACGGCTTGAAAAATACGAGGCAGCGCGCCACTGCATTCAGCCGGCAGTGAGCGGCGAGCGCTGTACGGCTCACGACCATTCCCCCTTTCTTTCGCTCAGAAAGGCCTTAAATATGAGAACGGGGATTTTCGCAGAATAAAGTAGATTTTTCAAAGGTTATATCGAAAGAAAAAAAGTAAGAAATAGTTTAAAATTCACAACAATAATTTAATGAAAATCTACTTGTAATCGGGACCACTTGCCTTCAAATGCGATGTGTTTTTTTTTCCACGAGTCGTGACCGGTCAGTGACCAGATATTGCACGTAGGACATGATCAGGATTAATTTATTCTGACGTGTACTGGAGTGGTAAATGATGGCTCTGGAATTCTTGGAAATAATTACTTCAAGGCTTTGTTAGTTCCTTTCTTTTCTTTTCGTATCTTTTTTTTCTATCTTTCTTTCCCATATCTGGATTCTCTGAAACAAGTTTCGTGGGGAAAATGGCTAAACAGTACCGATTTAATTCAGAAGTAAATTCAGTGGCATTTTCGCCATCAATTCTTGTTTACTTTGAGTTTGTACCCTGATATTTACGCTCTGAAAAGATTTATATTCATGTTGTTGGAAAGTCCCCAGATCTGATAAGTTGGGGAAAAAACAACAGACAGTTTGTTCTTTGGGTCGATTTTCTGTGAACTTGCAGAGAGAAAACGCGCTTACAGTGGCTGCTATACACAGTTGGGTTGAATTAATGAGTGTATATTGGCACGTAAGGCTAGACAGTGAGGACAGGGATGCCATGTGCTTTCGCCAGTTGAGAATTGACCCGAGTCATGGCCAATGAGAAGAGACTTGCCGCGTCATCATCTCCTCCCCAGGACGAGTTGAAAAGTTCACCGTTTACCGCTTTGTAATTCCCTGTCTGGCTGATGCGATCCGAGGGAAGAGGACTGCGGGTAGAGGATGCGACGGGATAAAAATTATTGGCGGACGCGCACACGGACAGTGGAGGCGCGATGCTAAGGAATGGGCCAAAAAGAAGAACGGGGCGGGGTCTAAACGACGACGGTCCGTGAATTTAGCCATGATCATCGTGGACTACACGGGTGAAATGTTCTTCGGGGTTTGATGGTGGACGCGCGGCGTTATGTTAGTGATGAGCTCAGCTGGCCTCCTCACAATAGCACAAACAGTGAGTTGTTGGGGAGCCAGTCAGTAAGGGCAATACAGCACCCATAGTATGACTCATCCAATGTGCGTTCATACGTTGTTGGTTGCGGCATGGCATCAGCGTAGCGGGCTTGGAGTCACGGCTGACGACAAGCGCGTGCCGTACAGCTGCGGGCAATCTCTTCCTGTCCTGGCCAGGCAAAAACAATCCAACGAAAGAAAGAACAATAATAAAACTACAACCAATCTTGCTTACCCAATCACCCGTTGTTTTTGAGCCGCCAAAAAAAACCCCCTCGTGATTATGGTCCCACTCCGCTGACTTTATTTGGTATTATTTACACATAGGCCTATGCAGAAGATGTTCGCACCGTACATTGTACATGTTTTTTTTTGGTTTCAGAATGAAGTTGTAAACATGTCTAGTGGCGGTTTGCAAAAATACCACAAATAAAGAAAAAATGTCTTTGTAGGCATGTGCTTACTACATTATCAACTGCAGGCCATGTGGAGAAGATCGGTTGGTCGGTTTGTTAGTTGCTTGGTTGCTTGGTTGGTTTGTTAGTTGAACATTTGGTTAATTGCTAAATTGATCAATAAGCCAAGACTTCAAAGATGGCTGCGGAATACAGAGTCGGGTGAACGAATTTCGTATCGAATCCATGAATTTGCTGAGCCTGATACGCATTATGTTCCAAATGTACTCCAAATTATTGCAAGTGTTATTTCTGCCTGTATCAGCCGGTAGAGAAGTAGTGTTTCCATATTGTCCCCACATGTGTGTTGAGTATTTGGTTACTTCACCCTTTCCTTCCTTTTTGTGCCACATTTCCTCGTTCCTTTCCTCTGCTCAATGTATATGTAAACTGTATAAACCGGTTGAATTGTTTTTGCCTAATGTCTGCATAGTAATCAGTGCTCGGAAGGGTCGCCATAGGCCTACATAATGTCACGCTTTATATTTACACTGGGTCAGTGTGCGTGACTATACGTAACGTGTAGTTCGTGGGTAATTCGGATACATTATGCGCAATACGTCGGTTCCATTGCACAGACTTGATTTTTTGATTGAATATTCAAAAACAAATCTAGGGACGGTTCTGATGGGAGTTCTTAAAGGAGAAGTACACCCTCTTCCAAACAGAAAAAGTGTAGCCCCCAAAGATCTTTATATGTAAAGGACAAGTCACAAAAACTTGTGAAAACTGAGCAAAACAATGAACAATTTTCCAAAATTAAACACATATTGCATGACAATTTCCCAGCATCGGATACTTTTTTTCACTAAGTCTGTCTATAGGCCTATTGTTGTCCTTGACTAAAACATTAAACAGTCATCTCTTGGTATCATTTTGTGGTGAACAGAAGTGATATTCTTCGGCATTTTCGAGACATAAAGAAAAGCACATAACAGCTTTGTAAACACGGGCATAATATAATAACCTTGATGAAGAGAATCCCCTCGCCCTTGGCTAAAAAAAAAATCTCGAAAGTCTCAAAGGCCGCAAGTTTGAACATTGCAATGGACCTAACTTAAATTCTCTAAGTGGATGCAAAAGACATGTGTTTAGAACACACACAGAAAAAATCAGAATAAAATGTGGAAAAAAGTACCCATGGGGATTCGTACCAAGATCGCTGGATCAATAGTCAGATACACTCTCCTCTAAGCTATAGTTCCTCGTCGAAGTTCGCTCTTTAACTAGTTATACATGTATAGTTGGCCAAACTCTAAAAGGTAGTGACGTCTGTACCTTATGCCATCAATTGTAATTGCACATATAGTTATGGGAAAGAGAAAGAAATAGCTTCTGTGGTGCTCTGTTCGAGACAAGGGATTCGCAGACCTCCATCATCTCGTTTAAAACAAAAACAATCAATTTTGAAATCACTTAGAGCAAATGGGAAACCAGTGCGTATATGAATGTTCTTGTTAGATCGGCAATAGTTTTAGGGGAGGGGGAATAGTGGGATTA